GTGTGCCCCTGATGAGACTGACTATAGAAAAGACGAGGCTCAATCTCAGGAATTGCTGTAGTCTGACTAACACTGAGAAAAAGAGGAAAATATATTATGTGTAACTGCATGCCAGTAAACTTCAAAACCTGGATGATGTCCTGGAGAAATATAACTTACCAAACTTACATGAGATACAGAAACTCTGAAAAGTGCTATAAATATTTTTTTTAAAAAAAATCAGTAATTAAAAACCCTCTCACGCTTATCCTTTGTGGTGGCCAGACTTCTGGAAGAGCTCAGGGTGTTGTCTTCCAGGGTCAAATACAGGCAGAAAAGAGAATTATTTCTGTTCAGAAAGATTCTGAAGTTCTGGGCCAGAGTCCACTCTGCAGAACTAGGAGTCATGTCTCTAAAGCAATTATGTGGACAGGTGGCTGGATGCGCAGACAGGTGCATATCCCTGGAGCTGGAAATAGGGACAGTTGTTCTCTGCCACATGAGGGAGAGGTGGATGCTGCATTGTCACAGCCAACAAATGTTCATCAGAGTGAAATGGATGAACTCAGCCAGATGTTGGAAAATAGGTGATAGCTGTTGGAAAAAAGGGAAAGGACAAACAGGAGTAGAGAACTCTGCTCAGATTAAAACCACAGAGAGAGAAACAGGCCCCTCCAAGGATAACTGGAAGGAATGATGTCAGCAGGATGCAGCATAGGAGGTACCAGCCTTCATACCCCCATACAAGCACTAAGACATCTCTCCATTAACGGAAACAGCCTTGGGAGGGCTCAAGTGTCCGGTAAAGAAACTTTGGCAACATAGTGGAGCAAAAATGCTACTGCATAGAAAGGATCGCTGGGGAGGCAGGCTTACATGAGACATCAGGAAACGGCTAGGATCAGAGAAGAAGGTGGGGCTCTCTGAGTCCCATGGTGGGTGCCATCATGGGCCCCCATGGCATGCTCTGGGGAGGACCTTGGAGGACCTTGGTAGCCCCTGCGGCCGCCTGGGCTCCCCACAGCTTTCACAGCAGAGGACTCATGCTAGCTGGCAGACCCCAGTGGCCTGTTTCACAAAAGACATAGTGTTTGCCATGGGCATAACCAATGGCCATTGCTACCATAGACTCCCTAGGGAAGGAGATGCTGCTGCACCCTCTTTCCAGAAGGATCTGATCTCTTGTGCCACCCTCACATCAGGACTGCCTGCTGCCTCCCCAGCCCTGTGCCGATCCCAGGCCCCTGGCTGCTCTGGGTGCACCGTGCTTTAGACTTCAGCTCTATGGCAGCTGCACACTCGTGCACCTGAGGCACTGGGGCCATCATCACTGTGGGCTAGGCAGCGCGCCAGAACCTGGAGCCATCATCCCTCTGTGAGTGTCTGCACCCCAGACCCCTGTTCAGTATTTGGGCCATAGGCCCCTGCACATCAGACACCAATGCCGCCACTCTGTGAGGGTGCCCACCAGCTGGACCCATCCCCAGGAGGGATCACCTTAGCTGCAACATCCCATGGGAGAAAAAGGTCCGGAGGTACCCAGCAGCCTTCACCACTGAAGACCTCAACAGCCCGCACGGCCACTGCAGCCACCTGCAGTTTAGCTTAGGGTCCCTGCCACCTGTGCTGATGCTCACCTTGGCTGATAGATCTGCACAGAGACTCACTGCTGGGCCTGTCCTGTAGCTGGAACCACCACAGCTGGTATCCTGCACCCACTCACAGGTGGTCTTCCCCCACCACAACCCATCTGTAAAGGCTACAAGAGATGACTGTGTTCATCAGATGCAAAGTTAGCAACACAGGGCTACAAGAAGCAAGCAGGGAAACGTGACACCACCAAAGGAACACAATACTTTTCCTGTAATGGACCCCAAAGATTGAAGATGTATGAATTGTCAAAGGATTCAAACTTACTATTTTAAGGCAGTTTGGTGAGCTACAAGAAAAGTGTGAAAATAAAAGGAAACCTTGTCTAGAATGGAGTTCAGAGGCTGGCAGGGGCAGCTCTCACACCAAGCACTAGTTTTCAATTGCAGATCCAATAGGAAGAGAAGGACCTCACAGGTGGATGCTACTTTACTACTCCCACGGGAGGAGGAAGTTTTCTTCCATCCCCGCAACAGCCCAGCCAATGAGAGGCAGTCACAGCTCAGCCAGTGAGAAGCCACGATACTTCCAGCTCCCAGTTCACTCCAATGGGCTTTTTGTTTACAACAGCCCCTCCCGCCCCCCCTTTCCTCTCAAAGAGCTTCTTCTCCTTTTGTTCTCCCAACTTGCCTATGCTTTTGTCATAGCTTGTGCCAGATTGCAATTCTCTCTTATTCCCAAATAAACCCATTTTTGCTGGTAAAATAACAGTTTTATGTTTTTAAATATAGTTTTTAAATATATTTTTAAAGATTTTATTTATTTGACAGAGACAAAGCAAGAGAAGGAACACAAGCAGGGGGAGTGGGAGAGGGAGAAGCAGGCTTCCCGCTGAGCAGGGAGCCCGATGCGGGGCTTGATCCCAGGACCCTGGGATCATGACCTGAGCCGAAGGCAGACGCTTAACCGACTGAGCCACCCAGATGCTCCAACAGATTTATTTTTAAGGTTAACAGACTACATGTAAAGAACTCAACAAAATCAGGAAAAAAGTATGTGAAGAAAATGATAAGTTCAGTAGAGAAACAGAAATCATGAAAAGAACCAAATAAATATTGGAGTTGAAGAATACAATGAATGAAATGAAAAAAATGCAATAGCATGGATATCAAACTTGATCAAGCAGAAGAAAGAATTTGTGAACATCAGGACAGGTCATTTGAAATTATATAGTCATAGGAGAAAAAAGAAAGAAGAATGAAAAAAAGGTGAAGAAAGCCTATGTGAATTATGGGGCACCATCAAGCAACTAGTATTTGCATTGTGGGAGTCCCAGGAGAAAGGAGAAAGAAAGGGCAGAAAGCTTATTTAAGAAAATTCCCAAATCTAGAAAGAGATATGTACATCCAGGCACTTGAATCTCACAGGACCCCAAACAGATTCAACTCAAAGAAGATTTCACCAAGACACATTAAACTATCAAAAATCAAGACAGAGATAATTTTGAAAGCGGCAAGACATAGGGGGGAAAAAGAAACCCACTTCATTTCAAATAAGTGAATACCTGCAAGGCTTTCAGCAGATTTCACAGCAGAAACCTTGTAGGCCAGGGGAGAATGGAATGATATATTTGAAGTGCTGAAAGTAAAAAACTGACAACTAAGAATACTGGCAAAGCTGTCATTCAGGAATGAAGGAGAAATAAAGACTTTCTCAGACAAAAGCTGAGGGAGTTCACCACTATACCTGCCTTACAAGAAATGCTAAGGAAAGTTCTTCAAGCTGAAGTAAAAGGATGCTAATTAGTAACATGAAAACACATGAAAGTATAAAACTTGTAAAAGTACATACTCATTCAGAATATGATGGCTGTGTCTAAATCACTTAAATCTAGTATGAATGTTAGACAAAAGTATTGAAAAAACTACAGTTACAATAATTTTAATGGGTACAAAATATAAAAAAGATGTACATTGTGTTATCAAAACAAAAAAGTGTGTGGGGGAAGTATAAGTGTAGAGTTTCAGCATGCCGTTCAAGGGGGTGCCGTTCAAGGGATGAAGTTTCAGTTGTGCGGCCTGGATGAGCTGTCGAGACTGCCGCACAGCACCAAGCCTGCAGACACCGGTACCGTACCTCACACCTAAAATTTTGCTGAGAGGGTTGACCGTGTGTTGAGTGTTCCCACCACAATAAAACAAACGACGAAATCACATTAGGTGCTATTCCACTCCCCAGGACGACGTGGGGGAGCGGGAGCACAGAGGCCGCTCTGGGGGCGGCTCGGGTACCCTCTCCTATAGGCTGCAGCCCCTCTGACCCAGCAGCCCCATGTGGGGTGTATGCCCAGCAGATGTGCCCAGGCACACTCAACACGCGTGCGTCAGTCGTGTCCCAGACGGGCAGCAAGCAGGTCATACTAGCACCTCAGTGGCTCGAGAGGCGTGGGAGCGGCAGGGAGTGAAACTCTGCAGACGTGCAACGTGGGTGCGCCTCCTGGATACGGTGGAGGACGTGGTGGCGAGAGAGAAGGCAGACAGGAAAGAAGAAACACGGGCCCGTTGACATGGTATATTCAAAATCAGGCAGAACTGAGCTGTGGTGTTCAGAGCACATGTTTACGTGGCGATGCTGTAAAGAAAACCAGATGTGGAGTTCTGTGACCTCGGGGAGGGGCAATGTGAGTCCGGGGGCAGGGGATCTCCGCGCTCTCCCTCCCCACTTGATCTTTGTAAGCTTCTCATTTTTTGTTTTAGGCAGTTTTAAGTAAAGTAGGTTCAAGGGACAAGTCGGTTTGGGAAACAGGACCTCCTACGTCCTCTGGATGTTCCCAGGCTCGGGGAGGTCCTGGGCCGGAGGCCGCAGAGCCATGTTCCATCGCCTGGTTCCCAGGGTTCCTCCCGATCCCTTCCCAGCCCCTAGTAGGGCGCTGGTGTTGTGTGCTTCTGACCTCATCAAAGCCTGTTCGTGGGACGTTCCTGCTCACTCTGGGGCAGGGGAGTGTGTGGGCCTCACTGTGCAGACACCTTGCTTTGATTAGTTCATTTTATGACGCTATGGGATGGGCCAGTGGAAAGGATAGCAGAGCCGTGTTTCGTGTAGCTCCCCTAGCAGGTGGGGGCTCGGAGAAGCGGGTTATGCCTGATGGCCAAGTGCTGCAGGAAAAGCGAAGGGAAGGGGGTGGGCGTGCCTGTGCCGCCGAGGGGACAGTGGTGGGACGGGGGCCTGAAGGGAGAAGCCAGGCTGCTGCGGGGCCTCGGAAGGCACCTCAGGCAGGGCCAGCCCATGTGAAGTTGGTGCATTGGAGAGAAGGACGGAACGCCAGTGTGCGGGGCCTGCAGGTCGCAGAAGGCATCTTTCTGGCCAGAGACGTGCCAGGTAAATAGGACTACAGTAGGCTGGTACAGAGGTATTTCTCCTGTTTCTTCTAGATACCGCGCCCTGTAAAGACCAGCTGTCCTTAAGGGAAAAGTCCAGCTTCCCAGCCAGTCCGCAGCCTCTGAGCCAAGCAGGCCCCAGGGACATCCCTGGTGGTGCCCCAGCCCCTTTGGTGCCATCCTCCCCTCCTGTGACTGCTCTGCCCCAGGACACGGCTGCACCAGCTGCCAGCCCCAAGTCAGAGCCAGCAGTGGGGACTGCTGTGCAGGCAGGGGGTCCAGGGACCTCTCAGGGGACGGCCAGTGAGCGCGAGACCCCCCAGCCACTGGCAGAGACTCGAGACACCCAGCTTGCTGCACAGCCTCTGGGTGCGGGCGGAGGGCCTTGTGCCCCACCTCTGGAGGCCCCCCGTTACCCCACAGGTTTGGGAGAGCCCGCCTCAGCCAGGGAGGCCACTGCCCAGGGCGAGCCCTTGCGGGCTCCGGCCCCTGCACCCAGTGCCCCCAGTGGGAGCCCTCAGCCTGCCCTGGGCCAGCCCCTACCCCCGCTCCCCCCTGCAGTGGGGGCCATCAGCTTAGCCACCCCCCAGCTCCCCAGCCCCCCCCTGGGGCCCACCGTGCCCCCCCAGCCACCCTCTGCCTTGGAGTCAGATGGGGAGGGGCCGCCCCCCAGGGTGGGCTTTGTGGACAGCACCATCAAGAGCCTGGACGAGAAGCTCCGAACTCTGCTTTACCAGGAGCACATGCCCACCTCCTCAGCCTCGGCTGGGACCCCTGTGGAGGTGGGGGACCGAGACTTGACCCTGGAGCCCCAGCCTGTGGTGAGTCCCGGCCCCACCGGGGTGGCGGGCTCCCTAGGCACGCAGAGCTGCCGCTCTTGGCCCTGACTGTCCCATTCTCAGAGGCCCACCCCATGTGTGTTGCCAGAGTGGCTCATTTGGGGAACTGGGATGTGTGTGCAGGGTTGGGACCTGGCCTGGATGGGCTCTGCTTGGGGCGGCCCGGAGAGGAGCCCGGCTTCCATACAGGAGATCTGTTGGTGAGGTGTAGGTTAAAGCCTGCAGAGGTCAGCAGGCGAGACTCGTGGCTCTTTCTGTTTCTTCCTCCAGCTGGGAAAGTCAGAAACAGCTCCGGGGCTGGGGGCTGCGCTGGACCAGGCTGGGTCCTCGCCAATGACAGGTAATGAGCCCCAGGTCACCCGTCAGAACCCCAGTGCTCACCAGGTGCCACCAGCCTTCCTTGCTCCGGAACATGCTGCATCTCCATCCTTCATCCCCATAGCATCTTGGGTGGGACTCAGACATAGCAGGAGCCCGTTGTGAGGTGTAGGTTAAAGCCCGCTGTATCCTAACAAACCGTGACATGCTCATGCCCCAAGGTGAGAAAGTTCTCCGTAGAAGTGGGTGAAAGCCCGGATGGCTGGGTGTCCGGGTGTGATCAGGGCTGTCAGCTGCCGTGCTCTCAAAGCGCTCTGGCAGGTACCCCTAGCCCCCTGTTATTGAGAAGGTTACAAGGTGTTGAAGGCCCTTTTGGCAGAGTGCAGGGCTGGGGCTGGGGGCTTCCCGCAGGTCTATGGAAATGGTCAGGCTGGGGCCATCGAGTTCCTGAATCGGGGCTTCCTCTGAGGGTCCCCTCTCTGTGGGAACACCTGTGTCTCAGCCCAAGGGCACTGGTCTGATCTTCTAAGGTGTGGGGTTTCTTCTTGGCCTCCAAGTCCTCGGGAGATCAGCAAGACAGGGATCCAGCTGACCTCGTGAGTCCCCTGGGTGTGTGTCCAAGGCAGATGAGGCCCACGTGCAGAGTGAGGGGAGTGGCCTGCGGGATCTGGTCAGACCCCTGGATGCCGCATGCTTGGGTGTCACACCGTAGAGGGAGGGGGACAGCCAGCAGTGGGGTCGGAAGCTGTAACATGTGCCGTTTCCCTGGGAAAGTGAGGGTCAGATGGTAAAGCAGGAACGTGCTGGAAGGTACGAGGAGTGCCTGCTTCATCTTCTGACTTCGGTGCACCAGAAACGCACTCTGGGCCCCTCCTGCAGCACCGGGGACGTCGGTGCTGTAGCCACTCCCAAATCCACTCCTCCCGGAGTGCCGGAATGTGGGGCAGCTCTAAGGAAACAGATTCTAGTTTGGAAAAGGTAAACGTTTCTGGAGGTCGGAGCTGTCCAGAAAGAGAGGGGGTGTAGTTGACCGTGAACCGCCCCCGTCCCTGGAGCTGTACAAAGACAGGTTGGCTGGTCCCCACTGCCGGGAGTAGGTAAGGATGGGCGTCAGGCGTTGCCTGTGGGTGAGGGGTGTGTGCCACTTGGGTCTGGGTCTCCCCAGGAATCTGCGCAGGGACAGCCCCCAAACCTTGCCGGAGGCTGTCACCCCTGCTCCAAGCATGTCCGTCTGGCCGCGGGCTGACACGCAGCCCCTGCCTGCCCGTGGCTGTCGTTTGCTGTGTGCGGGTCTCAGCTCACCCAGTTTCCCACACGTCAGCTCCTTCTGCTCTGTCACTCAGCCGTCCTGGGAAAGGGGGTCAGAAACACCCCGCCGTGTCTACGCTCTGTAGATGGGGAGACAGAGACAGCCTCAGATGACAGGGTCCTTCCCCAGACAATGGAGCAGCAGGGTTAGGAACTGGTGCTCTTGATGCAGGACCTCCTGAGACCCTTTTATCCGCAGAGATATCATGTCAGGGAGGCCCTCAGGTGAGACAGGGCGGAGATGTCAGGTATGTAGAGATGACCTGTGATGCAGATGGACGCGATCAGGGGTTAGAAGGGACAGGTGATGGCCATCAGATGTGTAGAGGGTGTGGCAGTACCCGAGGTTCTCGAGCAGGTGCCTCTGGGGACCTGAGTAGTGATAGGCTGAATCCTCCTTTCCCCAAGTTATTGGGGGTCTCCTAAGAAAAAAGGAAGCGTAGCACATCCTGGAATATTTTTAGTTTTCCTAGTTGCTGAGCACAGACACTGCAGGTTCCCCTTCCTTGGGCGGGGGGCAGCCTGCCGTCTCACTGATCGGATTCAGCTTGAGGGCACCTACTCCTGCCCTTGTCCTCCACACCAACCCGAGTAATGATTTTGACGTTCCTACAGCAGAATCATCTTTGAGCCAAGTGACAGCCTCAGGCTTGCCCACAGCTCCAAGTGCTCCCCAGGTAAGGAGTGCTCTCTGAGACGCCCAGCTGGTCGGTGGGGTTTCCTCTCTGCTGGTGCGTGGTGAGAACTTTCCCTTTCCACGCCTTCTCAAGGATGTCCCTGCTTCTGCCTTCCCTGCACATCCGGAGCCCGCAGACCGCAGCAGTGGGGTCCCTGGGGAATCCTCAGCCCAGCCCACACTGAGCAGCCTGGGGACATTGATGGAAGACAGCCAGACCGGCCACCCCCAGATGCAGGACATTCTCGCCTCAGAGTCCCCCCAGAAGCATCTAGGACAGCAGGACAGCAGCTCACCAGCCAAAACCGTGGGCCGGTTCTCGGTGGTCAGCACGCAGGACGAGTGGACCCTGGGCACCCCCCACAGCCTGCGGTACTCGGCACCCCCGGACGTGTACCTGAAGGAGGCCCCCCACAGCCCCGACGTGAAGCTGGCTGTGCGGCGGGCGCAGACAGCCTCGTCCATCGAGGTCGGCGTGGGTGAGCCGGTGTCCAGCGACTCTGGGGATGAGTGTCCGCGCAGGAGGCCCCCCGTGCAGAAGCACGCCTCCCTGCCCAGCGGCGGCGGCGTGGCCAGCGACTTGGTGAAGAAGGCCACCGCCTTCCTGCACAGGTCCTCGCGGGCTGGCTCCCCAGGGCCGGAGACGCCCAGCAGGGTGGGCGTGAAGGTGCCCACCATCAGCGTGACCTCCTTCCACTCTCAGTCATCCTACATCAGCAGCGACAACGACTCGGAGATTGAGGATGCGGACATCAGGAAGGAGCTGCAGAGTCTTCGGGAGAAGTAGGTCCTGAGAAGCAGGCACTGGGGGCGGCTCGGGGAAGTGTCCGCCGCTGAAGCCGGGTATCCCACTGTGTCCACCTGGGGCTGCCTCTGCTGGGGACAGGGCAGAGGCGAGAGCCCTGCCGCGGCTGGATCTGGCCCCTGGTCTCTTATGGTGGCCCTCGGTGGGCTGGCACTCTCCCCTAGCAACTGTGACTTGCCCCGCTGTGTTGGGGACGCTGTGCAGAAGTGCTGTTATTCCTTTCCCCCCGGCTCCGGCCCTGCACTCCAGCCTCCCTCCAACCTGTCCCAGCCGCTGTGTCAGGACCAGCCCTAGGGCACTTGCCCGGCGCTCGTAACCCCCTCCTCCTGGTGCCCCAGGCAGTCAGCCGCTGAGCCCTGGCATAGAGCAGGCACTGGCCTTGGAGGCAGGAGGTGCTCAGTCCAGGGATGGATGTCCTTGTGGGGCGTCGGGGGGTGAGGGGCTCATCTGTACACTCTCACTCCGGGGGTGGTTGCCCTGGGAGCCTGCGGTCCACAGCAACAAGCGGGGGCGGGGGGGGGGCCAAGAGAGGCGCTGGGGAGGGCTGGGGGAGGGGCTGGGGGCAGCTGCCGCCGGCTCCCAGGGCGCAGGGCCTGGAGGTGGGGGTGGGACCAGATCCAGAGTTGCATCAAAGGAAAGGTTTGGGGGGGTTCTGAGGAAGCGGGGCTGTCAGCGATAAGTCCAGGCTCTTGCCTGCTGGAGGGGCATGGATCCCAGTGGAAAGGGGAGACCATTTAGGAGGGGGCAGGGAGAGTCTGTACCTGAATTGAGGGGAGCTGATGGCACCTGATAGAAGGTAGCCTTGCTTGCTCAGACCCTGTGGGCACCGTGGGGGACACTGGTGCCCGGCCCCAGGCTGGGGGGCACTTGTGGTTCTTAGAGCCCCAGGAACCCTGCGCTTTGAGATGCCTGCCACAGCCCCAGAGACAGGAGCCTCCGAGTGGGGGTCTCCCCTAGGTCCTCCTGAGTCAAGTGCTCTGGGTGACCCGCCATCCCTCTCCCCCTCAGCAATTTCACCTCAAAATATCACCCCATCAGAGGCGAATCTGATGCAAAAGGCAATCTGCTGTTTAGAATCATTTTCCTAAAGTCTGGCAGGCATTGAGGATAGTGGAGGTGAAATCAGAATTTCCTTCCTGTGGTCCAGCCACGAGAAAGCCCCGTTTCCCAACCACGCACTGAGAAAATGGGCCCTGGGTGTGGCTAAGGGGCTGAGCCCCCTGACCAGAGCAGCCAGGCCCATCAGACACGTCTGAGGGGCTGGCATCAGGCCCAGGGTTTTTAGGTGGGCGAGTGGGCAGGCGAGCACAGTGGCTGTGGGCTGGGCCAGTGGGGCCCCTTCTCTGGCTTGTTCTAGAAACTTCCCTCGCCCACAGTCAGTAATTGCACCTGGGTCTTCATGGCCATGTATCCAGGGGGTGGTATTGCCTGTGCCGGGTGCCACCCTGGCAGGACCCTGGCTGATACTTGCTCACGGGGGCGTGGCCTCATCTGCGATGCCTCTCCTGTGGTCCCCTCACTCAGAGGAATGACACTTTGCTGGAAAGGCTGAGGCAGCCTTTCAGTTCTGGTTGTTTTTCTTTTCACTCGGGTTTGTAGGGTGTGTATTGTGAGCGTAGATGTAAACTCCCCAACCACTAAAAGCGGCAGCGTCATGAGAACTTGAATCTCCTGAGGCTCTTCCTCTTGCTGTCGGTGTAGTCAGGTGTGTGTATGCAGGAGACCCCCAGCGGGGCCCTCTTGGTGCAGATAAAGACTGCAGGTCTTGAGTGCACCTGCTGCCTCTGAGCCGCCCTGGTCCGTCGGCCTGCGGCTGTGCACCCTGCCCCTCACGGCCGGCCGGCCTGCCCAGGGCTCTGGTGGACAGCCTCTGTGTTGGGAATGACCAGGATGCCCACCACCCTCCCTTCCCTCCTGCAGGCACCTGAAGGAGATCTCGGAGCTGCAAAGCCAGCAAAAGCAGGAGATCGAGGCTCTGTACCGGCGCCTGGGCAAGCCGCTGCCCCCCAACCTGGGCCTCTTCCACACGGCCCCTCCCGCCGGCCGCAGGAGAAAGAGCAAGAGCAAGCTCAAGGCAGGGAAGCTGCTCAACCCGCTGGTGCAGCAGCTCAAGGTCGTGGCCTCCAGCACAGGTCTGTGCCCTCCCGGCTGTCCGCTGGGCTGGGGCTAGCACCAGAGCTGCGCGGGCGGGGGGCAGGTGCCCACCCCGGGAAGAGCACTTCTTGGATCTCCCTTCCTGGGGGCCGGGAAGCCTTTGCAGGTGTGAAGGTCCAGGCTGTCGGCCCCTCGTGAGTTGGGGCTGCTCGCAGCTCTCAGCCGCCTGGGGGCTGCCCGGTGCGAGGGAGGCGGCGGCTCAGGTCTCTCGCCTGCCCGCTCCCTGCAGGGCGCTGCCTGGGTCTGGGCTGCTTCCTCTGGCCATTTTTCAGGCACCTGTCACCTGCTGAAAATGGGGAGTAGAGCAGATGCCTTTCTGGGACGGGGGCTGGGGGGACGCCCAGGCATGGAGGTGCACGCTGACCCCCGCACTCTGCGGCGGAGACCGAACGAGCTGGAATCCCCCAGCGTGCCGGGTGGGAAGCCGGCTGCAAGCTGCCCTTTCGGTGTCACGGGGACCCCGCAGGGTACGCGTCCGGGAACTGCAGGTTACACAGATTATGTGAATTCCAGGAGGAGTCCTAAAGCAAACTGGAAACTAGTTAGAGTGAGCAGGTCCGTCACAGGCCTCCTGAACCCAGGTGTGCCTCTCCAGACGTGCCACAGTCCTAGCACCGCAGTGGCGCACCATATGCCTGGCACGGCGTGGGCGACCGGTCTCGAATTTCCTGACACCTGCACTCGGGCTGCCAGGCCACATGCCCTTTGCCTGCAGGGACTCCGCTTCCCCAAGGTCACCCAGCAACGAGCAGGGAGGACAGACGCACTCCGCGCTGGCTGGTCTGACTCGCAGCGCCTCACTGTGCCTGTCACCCCTTCTCCCCCCTCCCCCAGGTCACTTATCAGACTGCAGCAGAGCCCCTCCTGCTAAGGACCCTGCCCAAGCCGGGGCAGGGCCCGCGGCAGCTTCAGACCCGTGTGGGAAGGCAGTTCAGACCCAGCAGCCTTGCTCCATGCGGGCCTCCCTGTCTGCAGACATCTGCTCCGGCTTAGCCACTGACGGAGGCGGAGCGCACGGCCCAGGTGATTCCCAGCTTGCCCGTCTCCGAGCATGTGCTAGCCGCGCAGGGCCCCCGTGGAGTGAGGGGGCGAGAGCAGCTGCAGAGGCTGCCCACAGCATCGGGAGGAAAAACCGGTAGATGTAGCTTCTGAATAAAGAGAGTGGGTGGCCCACCCATCCCCGAGTCTGGCTGTGTGCGGCTCTGAGGGAGGCGTGCTTTGCTAGAGCCGCCCCGGGGAAGGTGCCAGGACCGCCTGGCAGACGAGGCGTCGGCCGTGTGCTCTGCGCCGGTCCCCAGGCGCTGGCCCGGCTGCCCGCTAAACACGGGGCCTTGTGTCCGGAGGGACGGCTAGGGGGGTGTGAGGGCTCGGCTCCCGAGCTGGGGGTTTGCCTTGAGGAGGAAGTGTTCGTCACCTCGGCCGTGGGCGCAGCAGCTGCGCGAGGAGGGGCTCCATCCCCACCATCTCTGTCCAGAGAAGTCGTGGGGACCGCTGACGGCGCCCGCCCCCGCCCGCCCCGCACGCCCTCCCAGGGTCCGCTTCTCCTGTGCTCCAGCGGTGCCTCCTCTCCATTACGTGGTCGGCGGCTGTGGTCCTCCGGGCTGGGCTAGGTGCAGCCGTGGATGCTAAGTGACGAGGCTGATGTGGCTGGTGGTGTGTAGCACGAATCCAGAGACTGTACTTGATGCCTGTCTCTTTGTTTTCTTCCCTCTATATTCATTTGCAGGCTGGACGGTTTACCACCCAACGTCTGAGAGACTGACCTATAAGTCTAGTAGCAAACCTCGCGCTCGATTCCTCAGTGGACCCGTGTCTGTGTCCATCTGTCTGTATTTGTTCTTCGTATTTTATCACCTCCTGGCCCTCCCTGTCTTCATCACCTTCCGCACATTCTGTAGGATGCCTCCCCCGCCCACTGCAGCCACCTGTTTAACACCAAGCGCAGAGCCCTGCCCACACCCGCCCTCCTGGCCCAGAATGGCCGGCGCATGCACTCAGCTCACGCCCGGGGCCAGAAGCATGTGCAGCGGCTCGCCCGCCCCCAGCCTCAGGCACCCTGCCCCCCACCCCCAGGCCCCCAAAGCGCTCTGCGGTTTTCTCCTCACCCGTTTGTTTAATTTTGTATTTTTTACGTTGGACGTAGTTTTATTTCTGTTGCAATTGTGGCGCATACACACGTCCACTGTCCCCAGTTCCAGTGACAACAAAGACAGCCCCGGCCTTCTCTAGACGCATGGTGTGTCTCACACGCGTCTGGGTTCTGAAGACTTGCATGTAGCAAGCTGAGACAGTTCTAGAAGGTCACTGGAGGGTGTGACTTCTGTACAAGGGCCGCAGCACTCAGCACCGTTACCCCACGCCCGCTCCCTGCATGTGGAAAGGCTGACAGAAGGTGCTCCAGCTAGGACACCCCACCCCTCCCTGCGCTCTGGGCACCTGGGGAACCTCTCGGTGTCCTGGAAAGTCCCAGCCTCCGCGCTGGCTCTCCCTCTGGCCCAGCCCCTCCTGGTCTCTAGCTGGAGCACTTGGTGAACCGCTCTCACCTCACAGACCTGACACGAAGTCAGTCACACAGCTCCTCCGAGCTCTGCTCAACCAAACCTCAGCCCCGGTGGCCCTCAGATTCCAGGGATGTCCTGCTGGCACCCAGGATTCCTGTCCAGGAAGGGCGCACCTGCTCAGGGCCATCCAAAGTTATTTCCTCCCTCAGAACGATTGGAAAATGAATCCAAAGCTGTAGGGTTTTCAGGTTTTTGTTTAACACAAAAATTAAGCTTTGCTCAATTGGGTTGGAAATGCTGGTTTGGGGCACGTGGCTTTTTGCTGGTACAATAAAGATACATTGTGTTTGTCGGGACCTGAGGCCACGTCCACAGCGGGCATCCATCCCCATCAGAGGGACCATGTCACCCTCCCCCAGGGAGCAGAGGTCAGAGGCACAGAACCACAGCGATTCCCAGGGACTGTCCAGTGGTCCTCGTCTCCAAACAGGTGTCCCAACTGAGCCGCTGGTTAGCTGCTGAGCTGGGGGGGGGAGGGGGAGGTCTGAGCGCTTCCCGCTCCCTGGGTCACTCGCCAGTCCTGTTCTGCCCGAGAGCGCGTGGCTGTCTCCTGGGGACAATGGGGGGAGGGCACCTGGGTCTCCAGGCATCTCGCGGTCAGATGGGCGGTTGCACCGCTGCTGGGAACAGCTCTGGTCAGGCGCGGGAAGGGGGGTAGTTAGAGCAGGTGGTGCTTTCCCTGGGGTGCGTGGGGTGAAGAGGTGCGAGCGGCCAGGCACCGTGTGCTCCTCTCAGGCCCCTGCTCCGCGTCTGTACCCGTGTGATTCTGCATTCTTGTTCAGGGGTCTTCGTTTGTTTTACTGTTGTTACTCCAAAATTAAAAAAAAAAAAAAAAAAATGGGAGGCACCGCAGGGACAAGTGGTTTAGGCTTTACTTCTGTCTTTGTGGCCAAGAGGAAAGGAACGTGTAAGGCAGGGCTTGGTGGCAGCCGGGGCGCCTGGCCCGGGGGCGCTGAGTTTGGGTGGTGGTGTATGCTGGCCTGGTGGCCTCGACTGCTCCAGGGCTGTGCACCCCCTGACGTCGCCGTTTCCATAATGGCCCTTTGCAAGCACGACTCGGCTGAGCTCTTGGTTACCGCGGCCACAGCGTGGCCCCTACGGGCTCTGAGGTTGCTGGTCAGGAAGGCATGCGGCAGATTGTGTCCCCTGCAGACGCGTGGCCTAAGGGTGTGTGAAGACGCACCCTCCAGGCTGTGTGCGCCGGGGTCTGCCCAGCCCGCGGCCTCTCCGGGAGCCAGTCGCCTGCTTTCCTGCTGACTGGGGAGCTCAGAGGCCTGAGGAGACTGCGCAGGCACCCAGGAAAGCCTGGTCACAGCCCCAAGGGCCGAGATGTGGCAGAGAGAAGGGCATTCAGGGCAGGACTGTGGGAAGACCCCGAGGTGGGCCCACTCTGGGGTCTGGGCATCCGGGATCCAGGCCAGCGGCAAGGGGGAGCTGCAGCCACAGGGTGTGGGTGCAGTTGGTGCAGCCTGCAGCTAGAGAAGGCCAGAGGCCTTCTGTGCATGGCCTTGCACGGCTCCGGGAAAACAGTCTGTGTTAAGTTACAAGACTGTAACAGTTCTGTGATGTGCAGAGTCCCTGAGGGCACCCAGGCCGGGTCAGAGACGAGCAGGGGTGGAGCCCCAGGCAGCTGCAGGCCGCCAGGAGGGGGCCCCATGCAGGAAAGGCAGCCGGGCCTGGAAGGAAGAACGTGCAAAGGACAAAGCCTGGGTGCCTCCTTGGGGTGGGCACCCGGACAGGCCCGCTGTTGGGAGGGCAGGGCCGGCCCCCACAGAGCGCAGACAGGGTGAGGCCCTGGGCACAGACCCCTCCTTGGGGCCGATGGGAGGGCTTAGGGCAACTTGGGGCCCACGTTTTGGGATTTGGGGGGCGCAGCGTCAGACACCCACCCCCCCACCCCCAGCTCCTGCCGAGACACAGGCGCCGACAGCTCCGGGGCGTCTGCACAGTGAGCTTCGATGTGCCTTCTTGCGTGCCGTCAGCCTGCCATCCGTGCGGCAGCGGCTCTGTCCCTGCGGCCCTCGAGAAGGCTGCCCCTGCGTGGCTGCCCAGGCCCTGCCCTCGCCCTGTGCTGTCCTGGACCCTCCCTGTGGGGACCCGCTGCAGTGGGCGTGGGAGACGGCCTTCGGACACCCAGGCTAGGCTGTCCTTGGGGCAGTCACGCAGGGCAGGGCAGAGCAGGGACGCCTCCCATTTCATGCTTCACGGACTAGCTTTGGCACTTCGCTCAGCGCTGTGAGGACTTGATGGCTTGTTACAAAGAAACCAGTGGCGTTTTGGTGCTGGCAGCTTATATGGTGCCGGTGCCAGGACTGAGTGTCTAATGCCACTGTGCAGGGTGAGGCCAACCGGCTGGAGGCGTGCCTCTCATCACAGGGCGAGCGGGGAGGCCCCCGGCTGGTCTGCGCCAAGGCCACTGCCCCTGGAGCCCCTCGTGAGCTTCCTCAGTATTTGAAGGCTGTGGCAAGTGTGCTGAGGGCCCCGAGGCCCGGTCCACTCCTCCAGCAGTCTGTCTGTGGCAGAGAACCTTGCATTTCTGGCATCTTCCTGGCAACCAGGCGAGGGTCAGGATGGTGGCGGTGCCTGGCAGGGCTGGCCATCCACACCAGAAGTAGCTTGTGTGTCCCTTCCAGAGACCCCCCGGCCCTTTCCTAGCCTGGGAGAACATTTCCCAACAGCTGGCCACATGGCAGCTGGCCACCTGCACCCCTGCCCAGGTGGAGGCTTCCCCAGGTAGTTCTGGGCCTCAAGCCGGCTCTTACCAAGGCCTTGGCTAAGGACAGAAGTCCTGCAGGGGAGACCTCCTGCCACGTGTGGGTTTCTTGTGGGTCCCGTGCGTCCCCGGTGCCCTTGCATTGCTGCCTTGTAGCCCAGCGGCCTGGGCAGGAGTGCAGTGTATACGCTGGTGTGGAGGGAGCTGAGTGGGGCTGGGTGGAGGTGTATTCATCAGACATCTGCGTGCTGGGCATCAAGGGCAGGGCACAGGCACCAGGGAGGAGGTTCAGGGGACCCCCCCTGAGGATGGGCAGGGCTGTGGCATGAGTGAGGGCTCGTCACCAGACACATCCGTGCTCGGCTGCAGCTCTGCACTGCGCGGGACAGCATGACCTTAGTGTGGAGTCAGTTTCTGATTAGAGGTTCACTGAGGGCAGGGAGTGTCTGTGCTCCCTGTGGGTCGTGCCCAGTGAGGGTGTGCAGGCCTCTGTGGACCAGTGTTGCTCTTCAGCTGTGAGCATCGTGGCCGGTGGCCCCACCTCTGGGGCCCTTCACCACAGGCCCAGGTTTCTCTGGTGGTTCCCAGCAGGCAACTCCCGTTGTTCATTGAGAGGATGGCGGGAATCAGCCCCGAAAGAACCCGCTGCTGTCAGGCTGCGGGGAGCTGGCTGGCTGGCTGGCTGATCCCATGTCCTTGGGCCGTCTGTATGGGACTGCTGAGGCCACAGGATCTGGATGGGCAAGTCTGTGCCTCACCTGGTGCCCTGCACAGTCAGAGCCTGGGACCCAAGTGCCACGGAGCCCCCAAAGGGCCCGGTGCTCCCAGTGGGATTCCATGTCAGGACACAGACCAGCAAAGGCCCTGCAGAGCTCCCACTGAGAGACGACTGGTCTGAACCACTCCTGCCTGGCCCCTTCGTTGTTATTTGCACATTACAGACCCCAACAGAACATCATCTCCCTTTTGAACTAGAAGAACAATTCATTTGGAGCCTGGGCTGACCTTTGTTCTCTCTTCTCAAACACAGGGGTGGCAACCCGCCTTCCCTGGCAAGGGTGCAAGGCAACTCCTCAGGGAGTGTGGGGGTTGGGGGGGTCCTGCTCAGGTGAGGGGCTGGGGCAGGAGCGCCGACCCTTTCTGACCCTCTCTGATAGCACAGCCTTGCTGAGTGACCTTGGGGACGCCCGAGCTGTCCTTGCCCGTCCCACTGTGCCTGCCCGGCTCCCTGAAGGGCCAGCTCGTCTGCCCTCCGGGTGGGCACCGAATGTCAGGATGTGCCGGGCGGCATGGACAGCCTGCAGGACCGCAGGGCCTGACGCTTAGCGGAGGCAGAGTGACGAGCCTCTCCCTGTCCCGGTGGACTCGGGATACCAGATGAGGCAGCAGCAGTGCAGGAAATTGGGGCCAGCCCTGCTTTCCACCTCCCCAGATAGGACCCCTGTACTTTCCCCTTGACGTGCACCACTGGTCTGGTCATGGCAGCTGCCTGGGTTCTGGGATTGGCCTCAAACCTGCAAAACAATGTATCTTTTTGCACTTAGAAAACAAATCTCCCATGGGCCTATGGGGCAGGCAGAGCCGGAGGGCTCCACTGAGCTCTCCTGGCTGACTTTCAGTGTGTTTTTTGCCTCAATCAGTGGGGCTCCAGAAGCCTTTTGTTTGAAAACCAACTGGTGTGCTTTGCTTTTTTGTTGTTTTTTTTTTTTCTTTTTTGAATACGCTTTTAGAGACACACTCACTTCTACCTGAAGCTTGGGGCCTGGCCCTGCACCTCCGCCCCTCGGTGAAGCTCACGTGAACCCGCACACTGACTCGGGGCCGCCCAGTTAGCCCAGGTGGCTGGTCCCCTCTCTGAAGCGCTGGCCTTTGCTCTTCCTTGCACACTGATGACTTGTGCTTAGAGTGTGGTGGCTTGTCCCCCGTGTGTGCTGTCCTGCCTAACCCTGTGGTCTTGTGTCGTTTCTTCTTCCCTTGCAGGGTCTGCCCTGAAGCGTCTCTGTCTAGGCAAAGAGCACAGCAGTCGTAATTATCGGGTTTTTTACCCCCTGTCTGCTCTCCATCGCATGGGCTTTCATGTGGCTAGTGCACATCAGGGTTTCCACGGCCGCCCGGCGCGCGTCTGCTCCGCGCCCACCCTCCAAGGGCACCGCTTTGCCTCTGCCTGGAGGGAAAGCCACCCGCGTTTGCCCCTCGCGTCTCCATGGCTCCTAGAGTCTATGTGTCCTGGCCGGTTGACACGCTGACACTCCCCTTCCCCGGAACATCCACACATTACCAACCGTTAATTGGCTCCTTTTCCAAAACCGTAGGAATGAGTATGTCCTTGAAGTGCTAAAGATGAGTGCCCCCGAGGAGAGATGCCGGGATGAAATGGGTATCAGTCCACCTAGGCCGCCCACCACCCTCACCTCACACCTTTTTTTTTTTTCCTCCTTTTTTCTTTTCTGGCTGAAACATTCATGTAGAAATAGCTGTGTGTGTAAAATTCCATCACTAATATTGAACTGTTTGTGCCCGTGCTTTTTCATTGCTAGCCACTCTAGACTACATTTTGCAACCGCTTGTTTGAAGAGATGGTCGTTACACTATTTTTTTAATGCAGAAACATTTTAAATTGGCTTATTCTAAATTGCTCATCAGAAATTCTATGTTGTGGGGGTGGGGGTCACAATCTAAAAAGAATTAAAAAGTCCCATGTTGGTCATTTAAAATTAATCCTTCAGTGAAGTAGGTGAGTGTGACTTCTTCGTGCAGCCTCCCCCCGCCCCCCTGAACCACAGCCCCTGGGCCTCCCGGTTCCCGCTGGTGCAAACACCCTGCACCCCGCAAACGGCTCCGAGCTTGGGGGCCCAAAGTTGAAGGCACTGGGTGTTTGCACACTTTATTAATACCTTCCTTACATGCTCTGGTGAGGAGAGGCGCAATTTTGTGTCTTAAGTTTCCAAACCGCTAATCCATTAGCATTCCGACGACCAAGCCTCTCGGGCCTTTTCCCTTTGCTGGGTGGATGGCAGTGGCTGCCGAGGCTGAGCACTCAGCATTCTCGTGTTTGTTCCTGCTCAGGGCGCAGAAGCCTAGGGGTCTGCCCCCAGTTTTCTGAGCTCCCTCACATGTGGGAGTCTGGGGTTCCTGGGCAGCATGGGCAGAGTGGATGCCGAGTAAGGCTGCCAGCGTCTCGGGTCCTGTCCTTTGGCCCGGCATGGCCTGGTCCTTACGGCCTGTGGACAGGTTCCACAGTGTCTAAAGCTGGCACACGGGCCCCCAAATGCAGACCATCTCCTGAAGCAAGGTGTTGCCTGGCCTAAGCAAGACCACTGTACAAATGACTGCAGCCGGTCGGCGGCGCTGTGTACAGAGTTGCCAACCCGGCCTGTGTGTGCTTCCCCAGGGTCCTCCACCAGCAGCCTGGTCCCGGGCCCCGAGCCGGGCCCCCAGCCCACCCTGCACGTCCAGGCCCAGGCAAACAACAGCAACAACAAGACAGGCACCTTCACGGATGACCTGCACAAGCTGGTGGACGAGTGGACGAGCAAGACGGTGGGGGCCGCCCAGCTGAAGCCCTCGCTCAACCAGCTGAAGCAGACGCAGAGGCTGCACGGCATGGAGGTCACGGCGGGCTGGCCCCCAGCCGCGAGCGAGCCGCAGGCCGTAAGTGGGGCGCAGCGGGCGCGGGCTGCCCGGGCGGCAGGGGCGCGGGGGGAGGGGGGGCGCCCCGCCGGCGTCGGGCAGCGCGTGGGGCTGCCGTCTTGGGCTCCGTCCTGCGACGCGTCCCTGTGACGGCGCTGGGCCACCTTCACCACCTGCCGGGAGAGCAGTCCCCGCTCGGGCTTCAGGGGCCGTCTGTGCAAGGTTGCGTCCCTTCTTCCTGCAATGTTTAGCATAGTCCGCCGGTGAACCCGTCTGGTCTGCGGGGTCTTTTTGTGAGTGCGGGAAGGTTCCCTGTGACCTTTTGTTTTGAAAAATTTCAAACATACGGAAGTGTTGGAAATTGCACAGTGAACGTGCGTGTGCCCCTGCCCACACGCTGGTGGCTGACATTTTGCTGTGTTGCTCACACATCTCTCCATCCCCTGAGGGTAAGATTTTCGTTACGGGCTCAATTTCTTTTATACTTTCTGTGCCATTTGGGTTTTCTGTTTTTTTCTTTCTGTTAAGCCTTGCTTTTCTAACATTTGGTAAATACCTAAATTTAAGTTTTCAAATTAATTGACATAAGCTGCTCATAACATCCTGTCTTCACAGTTTGTAGTGATGTTGTGTTTTTCGTTTCTGATGTTGGTGGCTTTTGCGCACGTGCCCCTCCCTCCCTCTCCTGTGCAGCCTCCTTAGGGGCTCATAAACCTTATTAGCCTCCTCAAAGGGCTCGTTTTGGCTCTGATGATACTTTTTATGTGTCATTAGTTTCTCCTTTTATTATCTCCTTCCATGTCTGGGCGGCTTTTGCTGTTCGAGAATGTTTGAGATGTGCAGGTCGTTGATTTCCAGCCTTTCTGGTTTTTTAATACAGGCCTTCAACCTATAAAAATCCCTCTCATGGTTTTATCTGAATACTAAAGGTTTTGATGATATGTAGCATTTTCTTTAACCTTCAGTTCAAATTATTTTGTAATTTCCACTGTGGTTTGAAGCAATATAATTATTTCCTCATACTCTTTATTACTGCTCTTTAGCCTAACTGAACCGTGTAAGGGAACTAACTTTGGGTGTTTGCAGTTGTTTAAAATGTGCTGGGACTGGCTTTTCAGCCCAGTTGTCAATCAGTCTTGTCCACTGCGGCCCTGATGCCCTCTGCACTCCTGCCGCGCACATCGTGCCCAAGCCTCCCTGTGTCCTTCAAGTGACCAGTGACAGCAGCTCTCTTCAGACAGTGGCAGCCCTGGGGCCCTAATGCCTCAAACTCCCTCTCTGGTATATTCTGTGATCAAGTTGGGAGTCCTCAGCCCGGCCCCCTGGCCCCGCGGGGTCCTCCCCCTAGGCCCAGGCGGGCGAGTCTCCCCTTCGCCGTCTGGACTCCAGCACATGGGCTCTCATACCCGTGCAGGCCATACATACCCCATCTCACCAGCTCGCTAATCTCACTGAAAGGCAGAGAGTCTTTTACTAAGATTTTTTAAAATATTTTTTATTTTTACTCTGGTAAATCTATATAACATAACATTCACCACTTCAGTTACTTTTAAGTGTGTAATTCAGTAGTACTCCGCATGTTCACAATGTTGTGCAGCCATCACACCATCCATTTCTAAAGCTTTCTTCATCCCAAATAGAAACCTCTAAGAAAAATACTCTCCAGTCCCCGTCTCTGGTGCCTCTGCTTATCCAGCCCCTATTAACTTTCATTCTACTTCCTATGGACAGAAGTGGCATCATGTAGTGTTTGCCCTTTCCTGTCTGGCTTATTTCACTCAGCATAATGTTTTCAATGTACAGCTGTGCCGCAGGTTGACTTTACTCTTTTGGGGGATGAGAAGGAAACAGGGAACATAGTAGTATTGTAATAAACTTACCATGGTGAGCATTTTGTAACGTATCTGCATCTTGAATCACAATGTTGTACGCCTTAAACTAATTTAGTATTTTATGTCAACTACACTTCAATTAAAATTTAAAAATTATTTCTTTTTCCAATTTTTTAATTGCAAAATATATGACATAAAATTTGCCATCTTGGCCATTTTAAGTGCTCGTTTTAAGTGCATTAAGCATTAATATTGTTCAACCATCATCCCCATAATTTTTTCATCTTGCAAAACTGAAACTCTGTCCTCATTGAAAAAGAACTTTCCACCCCCCACCCCCACCCCCATCAGTCCCTGGCAGCCACAATTCTACTTTCTGTCTGTACGGATTTGACTACTGTAGGTTCCTACAGAAGTGGAATACTACAATATTTGTCTTTTTGTGACTGGCTTATTTCACTTACCATAATGTCCTCAAGGTTCATCCATGTTATAGCATGTGTCGAAATGTCCTTCTTTTTTTTTAAATAATTTTTTTATTGTTATGTTAACCACCATACATTACATCATTAGTTTTTGATGCAGTGTTCCATGATTCATTGTTTGTGCATAACACCCA